AAATGATATACCATGAACCTGAAATATGAGCGGCTAGAGGGAGAAACCGGTACGCCAACACCCTCGCTTCCTCCGTCTCGTCCGCTGTGACCACTTGGCACTGAAGTTTCCCGTCGCCGCATCGGTTTGAGAGAATGACACCAAGATTATGATGTGAACATTCGACGACAATTTGGGTAAAACTTGGCGAGAGAAACAAATTAGAGGGAGGTAGTAGCGTGGAACGTCTTCAACTTGGATCCACCATCGTCGAATCTTCGAAATTTGGACCTTGTGGTCAAATAAATTGGAGGTGTAAATGGCAGGATTAGATACCGGAGAGCTCAGAGCAAGACAACTTTGAGAAGTGCTTGGGGAGGTGCAGACCAGGTGCAGACGACGGTGTTGGAGAGTAATCCGAACATGGCCAATGTCACCGAAGAATAACAGGAACAAATTGTTGAAATTCCCCACGGCAGCATTGGGCCATGGTTGCTCCTCAACGTCAACATTCAGCGCTTCAGCGCTGTCAGCGTTGCAACCTCTGCGATATTCAAGGAAAGGTCGCTTTACTTAGCCGTTTCGCCCTCGCGACGCTTATTTCCTGCCGTTCGATAAATTCAGCGGCTTCTCGCAAGCGATCGTCCAACTCTTTCGACCCCTGCAAGCGTGGCACCGCCCTCGGGACATTTTGCCCCGCAGGACATGTACCAGCGTCCTCTACCTCCTCGGTTTCCCCCATAGCCTTGGGTTCCACGTTACTGTCAACCTCATCACCATCGTTTTTCTTAAATCATTTGCCTCCTACCTCACGATAGGATAGCGTCGAGGTCTCAGCCAGCCCGGTGGCCGTACGTCGTCATGCGCGTCGAACCTGTCGACAATTCAGCCGGCGTGGCGGTAGAGCTTGCCTCAAGAATCCACGCCTGCTTCAATACTGCGTTCTGGCCCCTTTCATTCTGCGAACTCTGGACGTAACCCTGACCAACACGATATATAGAGATCTAAACGCACGTTGAAGAGGAGGCAGACTGTGGCCCAGTCCGTCGTACGTCTCCCGGAATGGAGCTGCTTGACATCCATGGTTGACCTTCGGTACGTTTCTTTGCTCCTTTCTCGACATCTTCGACTCAGCTCGCGCCGTTCAGAGAGGTGGATATGCACCTCCTACAACTCGCTTCCTCTGGTTCTTGTTCAAGAAAGCGGACCGCCGAGCACTCTAGGGAGCCGGATTACTTCGACTATCACCTCAAATGCCAGTCCATGAGACTACCGATGTTGGCGATTGGCGGTGGGCAAAAAGTTAGTGGTGAGCAATGAGCTAAGACCTGCCTCGAACAAACTTCAAGTGCTAAAACTTGCAGTCAAAGCTTCGCCGACGACGTTATTCCAACCTATCCATTGGGGGCCATGGGCAACACGCCATTGAGGAACGGCATGAGAGGTGGGTTCCTCTTTCCTCGCGACACTCGGCCTACTCGTTTGACTTCATTCAACCCCAGGACTATGTGTCGTCCTTAAATTTGAATCCACGACCCTTGTTTATCCCTACTCCGAGCGTGGCGAGAAAGTGTCTGCGCTGCATCTGTGGCCTATGGAATTGACTCGCAAACCGCAGCATGACCAAATATGAAGAAAACGCACAAAATACCGTCGACGTCTCGGTCACTAGTATGTAGGTTGCTAGTACCTCTGTTTGCCTATTCTCATCCTGTTTCCGTAATATATTAGGGACATATACCTGTTTACCGTGAGTGATCACTTTCAACGCAAGATACCCGAAGCGTTTCTCTGGCGCCTCAACTGTTTGGGGGACTTGTTCGTCTAGGCATTATATCTATTGCGTATCTTTCCTCTTTCGGGGCTGCTCCTTGACGCAATTCCGACTTACAGTATGCTCTTCGTTTGTCCTCGAGTGCTTGCAAGTGTTGTTAATGCGGAGAATTTTATCAGACACGCGTGTGACACCAAGATTAGTTTCAGAAGCGTTCAGCGTCCGTCTCCTGCACCCCAACGATCGGACGTATGCGATTCATGGATCGTCATTCTGCGCTGTGGGCTTCCTGCTCTGCAACCCTGAATAAGGTTTTCCTCGGATTTCACTTCAGTTAGGAGGAAATGTGTACACCGACGACTCTTCATCGCCTCAAGAATCAGCACCGCTACGCGCACAGCCTGCCACAAATACGAGATGCATCACGAGTGGTTCTACATAGACGCCTTGACGCCGGCCTCTTCATAATTTCCGAAGACGACGGCGACCTCTCTCCGAGGACGCAATGCTGTTGGGGTCGAAGGCTTCGTGGCCGGGTCGTGGTATTCGGAAACACTGGACGGACGCCAGCTCTTGCACCCAGTATTACGTATTGGGATGCCTCTGCCCATGTGTAAGAATAGCGACTTGCAATGCACTTGCCAGGTGCTGGGCAGCAGTGCACACATGAGGCCTGGCGACCAGTTTTCCCTTCGGCGTCCTTAAACGAGTCAGCCAGAATTGCCATGTTTAGCTCTCTTGGACCAAGCCCCGAAAAATAGGGCACTCACAACTCGACCCTTCTTTCCGGAGCCAACGGCGAAGTCAAGGCCGGAGGATTTTCGTTCATTTTTAGTTTACCCTTCCGAATGTGCACCATGTTTTTGTTGCCTCCATCCTCGCCGCCATGTCCCCTCCTCTTTCATCGCTATAAAATACTTCGGGTATCTCCTATCATGCGGTCGCTCATTCTGTCTGCCAGCCTCCAGGGCGTTGATTGCTCACAAAAACATTATGTGCCAAAATGTGGTCAGCTTATTACTTCATATTGGCATGTAGAGCGTAATATTAATCGGGTTCAAGGGAACAGGTATTTTTCCAGACTCTTGGGCAAGTCGGCCATTTATCTCGCGATGGTGAGTGGATTTGAGACGCTCCCTTGACACCGACACCTTCCGTAATATAAGTTGGCTGAATGGGGTTGAAATATAAAGCTAGTCAAAACTAGGCGCACTGTCAATAGTTATTCGGCGCAAGATATTGAAAATGTCTTCTCCGGGGCAGAGGAAGTAGTAGTTTGACCTTGGCGGAGGGACTTCGAGAATTTCTTGGAACGTGAAAGTAAAGTAGGCTTGTAGTGGTGTACCTTGGAATTTTTATAGAAAGCTCGTTAATTCTTTTTTTTTGGCCTAACGGCGAGTAAGCAGCGTGCAGGTTGCGTCGATAATTTTCAAACTTGAGGAAAGGTGGCGAATAAGCGGCATAATCGGCCCGCTACGACTCTGGAATTTCCCGCGGTAGAGCCGAAATTTTCGCTAGCACCGCCTCGCCGACTTTTGTTCCTTCCTTCGTGACCACGACTTCCCTGGACGACGAAATGACGCGAAATTCTGTACACCCGGAGTCTCCAATCCGAATCTGTGTCTCGGGGTCTACGTCGGAATTGCCAAGTAACTAAGTATTGCGTCAGCTCTCGATCTTGACCTCAAGTGCGAAGCCTCCTGCGCTCTGCATGGGCATCCTCGGGTTTGAACAGATTCTATATTCCGTACTCCGAACGGGCCACTCTCTTGTTTTGACGGGAGGTAAATTCCACAAATGAGCATAGCTCACCTCATGCGCTCAGTCTCTGACCTGGCTGCATCACTGTTTCGAAATGTGGATGGTTGACCTTTCAACATCTCCATGGTTCTTCTCGTTCTGCTTTTGGCCTCTTGCGGTCTCTCTACTTCTTGCCTATGACGAACACACTCTTGGCTACCACTGGCTCTTGCGTCACGGTATCTATATGACCTTCAATCAAGGAACAGACAAGTAACTCCATGTTGATGGGCGCGAATTACCAGCTGCGGTTGGAGGGTTCGTCCTACCGAATCTATTTCACATTCTCTCCACGAGAATCATTGTTGTTGAAGGTCCAGTGTATAATCGAGGATGTCATCGGATTCGCGACACAGAAACCTTCGTACGACAGAGGAACTGCGCACCGAAGTGAAACGATGGGCGAGGGAAAGCCACGGGCTTGGTGTCAATCTTATTCACTTTTAATCGGTTTCGGCGTCTATCTGAAACTATCCCTCACGCCGTGAAGCTCGGATGACGCCGTCCCCAAGCTGTAGCCTGAAAGAGTCTCGTTTCTTCGCCAAGTCAACCGAAGATCCTCCGAGCCTTCTGTTATCTCCAGATTTGGAAAATGGACCGCGCATCATGACTCTGGGCCAGCGAGAGTCCTACGGGCAGGAGGAGTCGCTGTTGTTACACTGGCGTGAATTTAACCCTCCATGTTCTTCAAGAACAGCTTCCATCCAGATTTCCTCGTGTTCGGGGAACACAGATGTGATACGCCCAACGCTGCTGTTACATGGCTCTTTTTACCGACCTCCTTCTGGTGTGACTTTGTGCGTGCATCATTTACCAACCCCATCCTTGGCACGCGCTCTCGAATACACCTACCGGGATACAGACTTTAAACTAACGGTCACCTGCATTCTCTCCATCTTGTCATGGGCTACCTCCTCTGCGGCCTCCAAATGCCTCACTACGAAAATACTGCACCGCCCGTGCCTAGATCCATATACATTACCGAGCGCTCGTGCCATGCACGCTTCAGTCTATCCTGTCGCCTTCCAAACGGGTATGTCAACGTTTACCAGTCTCTAACCTATACCAGCGTCTAATCCCTATTTACATCGATGATGTTACCGGAAACCTCTGGTAATGATTATCCGAATGTCTCTAGTCAGTAATTCATCCCAGCACAAGGCTACAGAGCAGCTCAAGAAACGACGTGAAGTGTCGCACTCTAGCAGCGGCGACCTCCAGGTCACCGTCAGCCAGCTATATGCTGTTACGTCTCCTGCGTTTTGTCCTCCATTATCGGTGAGTCGGCATCGCGTTTACGCCTACAAACTCATTTGTTACTAACCCCACTCGTTTGCTGGTCTGTTCAGGATGACATTTAAAGAGGAATTTCGAAAATCTGAACCTCAGTCTTTCACAGCTCGAACCATCTTTGAGCACAAGAATTCAACAGACGCACGCCCGCAGCATGATTTTAATTTCACGTCCTCTTCCGTTCTTGAGCGCTTTGCTTTTCTTGCCTTCCTGTCTCGCCGCTGTCGGGCCAAGTGCTACTCTCAATGTTGTAAATAAAGTCATCGGCCCTGATGGGTTCAACAGATCGTGAGTGTGGCCCTTCTGAGTCTTCGCCTTTACCGTGACTGACTCTTCGTCTTGAAGTACTGTCCTCGTCGATGGCGTGCACCCTGGGCCGCTTATCAGAGGGTTCAAAGTAAGGACATTCTATTGACTTCTACATGACAAGGCCGAACGTCTCTTTGCAGGGCGATACTTTCCGGCTCAACGTGAAGAACTCTCTTTCCGATCCTACCATGTTGAGAACTACTAGTGTCGTACGTTCCTCTGCGTCTTCTTCGAATCTCGTATCTCATAAAACCCATGTAGCATTGGCACGGCATATTCCAACGCGGAACTGTTTGGGCTGACGGCCCAGTGGGTATTACCCAGTGCCCAATCGCCTCTGGACACTCCTTTTTGTACCAGTTCCCAGTGCGAAATCAGGCTGGTACTTTTTGGTACCACTCCCACTTCGGTGCGTTTTCCTATGATGGCTTGACCGTAAATGCCACTCTTAACATTATTGCCGTCGACAGACACTCAATATTGCGACGGTCTTCGTGGACCCATGGTAGTCTATGATCCAGAGGACCCGCATAGGCACCGTTATAATGGTAGGCCTTTGCGACCTGGCCATCCCAACGGTCGCAGAAGGCGTGTCCTCGACACGATGAACGTCCCGTGCCATGAGGCACTAAACTACATTCCATGCGATAATCTACAGCAAGAGACGATACCAAGAACCTTTAACGGGATACAAAAGCGATCAGTACAACAACCCCCAACGAGGACGTCTCCAGGCGAACATGCTCCCATCTCCGGAGCAAAAATACAAAAAAGACCGGGCGAGCGGAGGGGTTAGTGCGGGACATGGATAAGTACATTTCAAGAAGGTGGGGCGAGTGAGAAATCGTTTGCGTGAGTATAAACACTTGGGAAAAGGTGCTTCAGGACGAAACCACATTATGACACGGAAGTCGGCGTCTCTGCAGAGAGCCGACTGACAGTGGCATGTCTGCGCTGAGAGCGCACAGCCAGCAGAAACTAGCTGATCTAACGACAATTAATGAACAACGCCGAAGCGAACAGGAAGGATAACATCTCACCTCGAAGGAGGCATGCTCAGCTCATTCAATACTTCTCGAGATCCTGGATGGGTGGAGGAGGGGTGCTCATGGTCGGCACGTTCCTCCTGAACCTCCCGTTGCCACCCTCTAGTCTGTGTCTGTACCGTCTGAGGAATGGCGAGCCCACGATGGGTATGCCTCTCTCGACGACCATCAGAGCCTCGGGCTGCCCTTCGTCATCACTGATGATGTCATACGATCCCTCCTGTTTAAGGTGGTTTGGGCAACGTTCGCGAGCCCAACGGATGCTGATCTGCTTCAGAGACGGGTTGTACTTGAGGACGCGGAGGGCGGTCGAGAGCATGTTCTCGTCAATGTATTTGTGCCCTTTTGTTAGCGAGAAGCGTTTGAGGTGAGGAAGGAGATGCAGTTGTGTTATGAGCTGCTTTAAAGGTTTCTGCGGTCCAACCATCAGTGAGGTGAGATCCCAACGAGGAGGAGAAAGGACGTACAAGCGTGAAGGACGTTGTACACATGAAATGAAAGTCAGTAAGCTTCGGACATGCTGCGAGGATTGAATTAAAGAAACGAGTGTGGTCGCGACTGGGGTCGAAGACGTGCGTCCAGATATCGAGGCTCGTGAGGTTGATAAGGCTTTTGAGAATGGGGCAAACAGTGTCTAGCCGGCTTTCGTAGACGGGCTCGCAAGTAAGGTCTAGAGTCTCGAGGGCTTGTGGATTAGGAAGTTCGGCGAGTTGTTGGTAAACGCCGATAAATGTGTCTAAAGCTGGCAGAGAGGAAGGCGAGAGGTGCATTGAAATGGAATCCGGAGACATCCAGCGCTTGAAGTTCCACAGAAAGCGGATATATTTGAGCTCGGTATGCCGATCGAGGAATGTGCCCAGCGAGCGCTCTGTGGCAGGTCCAAGGAGTCGAGGAGGACCGAGGGTAAAGTCGGACTGGTATCCAAATGAACCGAGCGTCAGTGTGTGCAGGCGAGGCCAGGTGCCTTCAGTGATTCGCTCAAAGTCGAACACGCGTGCGGACGACGAGAAGCTGCAGATCGCGAGTTCTTGGAGATCAGGACACCGGTTGATGATCATCTCCCAGAAACGATCAGGCATGGGCTCGAGGGCCGGGAAGAGCTCTGCTTATGAATGTTAGTAGAATCAAACGACTTGGATGGTCGTAACACACCATTCCCGCCGAGCCCGTGGCGAACTATGAGCGAGAAGCTTGTCAAGTCGGAGAACGAGAAGAGGCTGCTATTAGAGTTGAGTGACAGCGTTCCGACGTTCGAAAAGACACTCTTCAGCTGGGGACAACTGGAAGAGATGAGTACACGAAGGAGTGGAACTGGACGACCACATACTTTGCGCGAAGGGTGCTCCATATTGAGTCTCGTGGTAGCTCCAACCCGTCCCAATCGAACGTGTGCATCGTCATCAAATCTTTCGAGAACTCCTCGATCATGTCGACGACCCAGTCTTCGTGCAAGTACTCGTCCGGCTTGGGCCATGCGAGGTAGTAGTTTGGGCGAACCGCGAGCTTCTTGATGTACCTGCAGATATCCCTCCTCTCGCGGAGCATGTTCAACGTGACTCTGCAGTTCCTGCTCGACTTGAGGGTGACCGTGTCGTAGAGCGCCGGCATGAGCAGAGCTCGCAAGTGCGACGACTGGATGCGTTCATCGTCAAGACCCGGGTACAAATGAAAGGACAAAGCACACACCGTCAAGCTGAAGCTCAGCACATCCGCCGGTGATAGCAGATCGACAATCTCCCTCACTATGTCGGCCGGTATCGAGCCCACCGCTGCTGTCGTCGTCGCCGGGCCATAGGTGGACGATCGGGCGGAGAGCGGAAGCTGAAAGAGGTTCTTGAAGCTGCGTCGTCGGTTGCGCTTCGTCAGGCTCTCGCGAATGAACTCGATACTCCGTGCTCGCTGCATGGCGCAGGAGGAAGCGAATGTGGGTGGCTGGGCAGCACGGCTGGTGTCTGCACAATGGGCGTCGTTGTCTGAGACTCAAGGCTGCAGCACTAATGTTGCCAAAGACGGCACACCACAGCCACCGCGTGCTCGAAATCTTATCTTATCTTCACCATGGCGCAAAGAAAGACAAAAGCCTGAAGTCAGCAGAGGGTATAGTCTGGAGGAGATATTAGCTCAGAAAAAGGACGGATAAAATCCTGACGACTCCGCAGAATGAGGTCATGGATATTAGATCGAGCGAACAGATTTGCTGCTCGCAACGATTCTGAAGCAACAAGCAGAGAGTCCTTGATGACGTCCGGGGTCTACCTTAGTAAATACGTTAGTAACAGAGAATGGCGACCAGGAAATTGAGGCAACTCAACAAGAGGTTCTAAAAATTGAATGAGGTACAAAAACGTCGCGTTTAATAACTGATTGAGTACGGTCGAAAATGCGCGACGAAGTCAACTCCGATCAGGAGAGGGCGCCGGCGCGGGGTAGTGAAAAGACGGCAGAGGGATTCGCGAGACTGATGGAGGAGGAAGGCCTGGGAGTTGGGCAACTTGTAGCAAGTACAACGGATAGGCGAAAAGTCAAACAGCTTAGAGAACATACCATCGATACATCCGCGCCCCCCTCAGGAAATACGAGGCACCCTTTAGAGAAAGTCGATGCAGAACCGTAACAGCTGAGGACCTGAGGCTAGGCTGTAGTGAAGGGAGGCGAGCTTGAAACCTGGCGCACCTTGTGACATCGGCTGGACGAGTTGCGAAGCGTCGCACAGTAGGCGGGAGTCAAAGAAAAGAAGTCCTGAAGACGATTCCGTCGCATTGTAAAGTCGAAAGTGTGGTATGTGCGCTAATGAAGGAAAAGAGCACCTTGCGATGCTCAAACTGACTAGCATCGGAGAAGAACTGCACGGCAGGCGCGTTAATGACCGAATTTTGCTTGAGGAATGAAGACGTAAGCATCGCAGAATTTGAACGGTCCCTTCAAAATTTAACCTGACTCAAGACGCAAAAGGGGTTAGGACCATTGTATTTTGTTCAGGTAACCGATAACAACACCTACAGAACGGCGGTAAAGCACGAGAAGAAGTAATTCCGGCGCATATATTGAGGAAAATATATGCACCTTTTATCCCGAGATTGAGTGAAGGATATTGAAGATAAATACCCACTCCCGTACCTTCGCTCCGAGGATCCCGAATGGCCGAAGGAACGGCACCATACGAGAGATATACGTTTGGAGTACGCAGGAATGGTATGGTCAGATCGAGGACCTGGACGATGTGAAATCTGGAAGGAGAGCAGTATCAAGTTAAGAAAGAAAGAAGAAAACGAATTCAATTGGTGCTTCGCGTCGCGGTCCCGTGATGAATAAGTGGAAGGGAAATTCCCACGATTTGACGGCAAACAGAAATCTCCGACTTTCTCAAGTCAACAAAGAGTCCTACTTAGAAATCTGTACGTAAGTATCATCTCTTTTTCAAACCATGCCACCTAACAACGTTACAGAATATAAGAAGAATGCTGAATCGCTATACCGACCCATCGATCCATTCAAACCATCGATCGCATTCAGCCTCAAGCATCTCTTTTCGTCTCGTCACGAGGAGACGACTATAGACCATATTCCTGTTCGCTCACACCTCCCTCCTCATCTTATACCTGCACGTCCTGCATGGCGAAGTTCTTCTGCTCCACGACGACGACCACGGATCACAGGGAGGGTGTATGAATCTGCTGGATCCTTCGAAAGGGATAGGCGACAAACGACACCATCACGGCGTCGTCGTTCATCTGAAGGATCGGAAGACAGCCTTGCCTCATCGCCAGCATCACGCTCCTCCCGTCACCGCTCTGTATCCAGATCGCGGTCGAGAAGCCCAAGACGGTGGTCGAACCCGGCGAGTGCGCCTCGACCTGTTGTAGCCCCTCAACCAACGGTGATCATCCCGCCTTCTCCATCAATACCGACTCCAGTTTCCCGTGCTGGTTCGGACTCGAGCCCGAGAGAGAGCGTGCATGAGGGCCTTGAGGATGAAAGATCTGCAAGCTCAGCACCATTAGACTTGGAGTTTGACACCACACCATCTCCCACGTCCAGCCTCCGTTCTGTAAGAAGAGGTCGTCGAGGAAGATCTACAAGCTCAGCACGTTCTTCAATCTCTCCGCCAGTGCTTATAATCGCCCAGCCTCCGGCCCAAGCCCCGCCACCGGTTTTGCAGCCCCTTCCGTTTATTGAACGTGATGACCAGCCTCCTGTGGCACGTCCTTATAGCAGAAGAAGCCGCTCCAGGAGTCCAAGCAGACCTCTAATGCCCATAATAATCCCCCCTGTCCAAATTTCAGCGATATCTCCCTCTGTTGAACCTAGTCAATCCCGTCCTCCCATTGTAGTCCCGCCTCCAGTCACTGTCTTCCCATTTCCCGGTATGCGAAGGCCAGACGATCCAGGTCAGTCTATGCAATCACTACATCATCCTTAGTCTGACAAGAATCCGGTAGGAAACCCCGCGATCGAAGGGTGTGTCTCTCTTGGATCGGAGTATGCTGACCCGGAAGAAACGACCAAACCTAGCCTGCAAGCATACGTGCTAGCCTTCGCAGTCGACACTCTGCCCCGTCAGATGTACCTCCACCTCCTCCTGCGACTGCCCTACCTCTATTTCTCGCGAGTTACGAGAATCTTCGAGGAAGCAGAGATGTCGATGCCTCAGATCAAGGAATGTGTCATGGAGGCAGCGACGGCTACGAAAAGCCCTCAAGAGCTTGCTATGGCCTTTGGCCATAACCCACCTGTGCGAAGTCCTTCGTTCGAGAGCCTCCAGAACACATGGCACTCGTTCATCGACTCGTTGATGCGAGAATGGAAGACCCTGAACATCATCTCGGTTCTCCTCCTTTCGTGAGTCAATGCGCATATATTTAAAGTTTTGGATGCCGATCGAGGACTTCGTAGAGCCATCTTGACGATATTGCAAATTGATAGTGCCGCGAACGATCCTCTGACGAGATACGCGGCGTTGCTGTCGATGATGTGCGCCTTGATGAGCCTCATCTACGGGTGTATCTACATCATCCGATTTGGAGCGGTGAGGAAAGCATATAAAGCTGCAGAATGGGCCCATGTGTGTGTTCTCCACAAAATACTTTGTCCTTGTGCTGACCTTCCTCAAGGAGGCACAAAAAACCAAAACCGGAATACTATGGAACGTTTGGGTGCTCCTTGCCATGCCGGCTACATGGCTAGCATGGTACGTCGTTCGAAACTGCTCGATTAGTATGCACCACTTATCCGACCTTCCAGGTCTATGATCCTATACGTTGTCTGCATCATGTCCTTCGTATGGCGGACCGGGACCATCGATGACGCCGAGAGAGGGCTGCCCACATATCACGAAGTTCTTGCTCCTCGGATCGTCATCACCGTTGTTCTGTTCTTCGGCATCACGTACTTCGTCCTTATCACCAACACTCTCAGACGGTACGGAGAGAGCATGGACCGTGCTTGGCAGCGCCGAATCATGCAGTGGCTGGGCGACGGTGTTCCTCAGGCGCATAGTGTGCACACGTCTTCCGCCCCATCGGATTATAAATACAATCCTCTCGTTCAGCCGTACAGCAGGATATCGACGCCTCATTCCTTCAAGTTTGTCGCGACACTGCCCCCAGCTCCAAGCATCTGCAAAGAATTAGCACCGAGTCTTTCGAGCACTCCTGTCGTCAATGTCGAATCGCAGACTGGACCTGATATTAAGATGACGAGGCTCCTCACCCTACCTCCCAGTGAGCCGACGTCGGCGCTCAATGACGAACCTTTCGGTTTCGGCGACGAAGGCTTGACGGCAACACAGATACCAGAGGAAAAGAAGGACTTGTTCGTTTCGGTAAGCATTCTTACTCTCCCGAAAGAGCCCATTATCACTCACAAAATTGTCGCAGGATATTCGCGAAGCCTGGGACCCAACGAAACCTGATCGCGTATTTCGCACGTTATCGAGCTGGAATAACGAGTTCTTCTACCCTCGCGATGGCCAAGTTGCACTTTGCAGAGAGTACGACGCTTCCGACGTGACGATGCACGCCCTCTATCATTTCTCCACTCGGGAGCAGCTGCCACCATCTGCGCGTCGATACCCACCTATCCTCGACAACTTGAAAAGGGTGGATATTATCCCGCTGTATGCGGACGGTTTAGCCCGGCTGGACCAAGTCAATCTCTTTGGAAAGGACCACTATCCGCTCTCGGACGGCAACTGGGTGCCCCCCAGTTATCATCATGATGAATCCGATCGAGATTCGGCCGATGTGAACCACGAAAAAGATGCACATACCAGTACCAGTCACGAACCAGTAGCCTCGTGGAGTCCAGCCTTAGTGCTGCAGCCTGCTGCCACTCGCTCTTCGCTGTCTTCGTGATGATTTTCTGCTACGACTGCTGGGATTTTTTATAATGTAGGGTGTCGAAAGATCGGCGTTCTTGATTGGTCAAAAGTTTACTAATTTATCCATGTTTCGGTACTTACGAACCACTTTTACACAAGAACAAGTCCATTGTTTGTACGCAGAGGCCCATCGGGACCGTCTCGTGGACAATTATCTCAGGTGCTCGTGTTGTTCGTGCCTCTGAGAGTATTGTGACTTACGTCTGTTTGTCTCTTATGTTTTGAAACGCAGCTGTTGATTGTTCCAGATTCTGAAGAGTCAAATTAATCTAATCGATATGTCGAGGCGCTTATTAAGAGGCATTCTGGAGGACTTGAACGCTCCGCAGAATGTATCAGGCCACAAGGTCCTGTCTTCTAGTCTCTCTTGGGATGCCCAAGCTCAGGCAACTTGACCCAGTCGTACCGATCTACTCGGGTCTTTTGACGGCCGTCTCGCATCTCACTCATCTTTCGTTCACTCAACATCGACGGCGATGCCTACCAGTACGGTCCTCATCTTAATTTATCTCATCTATGACGGTCAGGCTTTCGCACGTTTGACTAACAACGTTCAACTGACAAGGGTTCGTCTGGGGTTCTCTTGAACCTCCTTTGATGCTTCCCTTAATTCTGGAACTTCGGATTGGGGTCTCTTTATGCATCTTTCAGGAACTACGGGAAGGAAGTTGGACGGCCTCGGGCACTCGACAACTTACGACGAACTGGCGACATATTCGTGCGTAACGTCACTTTGATTTCGTGACTCTCAGGGCGCTTCTTTTGCCTCCCGCTCCCGAACTCGCCGTCAAGTACCTTTTCCTGAATAATGAAAGCATGCCCAAGCATACGTTCATGACTCACAACCACCTCAACGCCGCCAATGAGAATGAGTACGAAATATGCTTCCTATCACTTCTGTTCATCTCCCGGCGTGCCTTGTTCACATCACAGATCTTAGGGTCTCTCTGCACCAGCATTGCTGACGAACGTGTAGTGGACGTCTTCGGGCGAAGAATCACCGAACTTCGCAATGACTTCAGGGAATGGTATCACAACTGTGTTGCGCGACAACGAAGCAGTCAGTCGAAACACCCTCTAGCGGCCGCAAACTTCTTTCACAGGCATGAGCTTGAGCAAACTGGACAGAGAAGTGTCGTTCAATCGTCGCATCTAGCCGTCCTATTTTTTGTGGGTGTGGCTCTTGGCTTACTAGTCTTCGTGTCAGAAACCCCCGTCGTGTTGCTTTGAAGTTTGGCGCCATCTTGGCGCCATCTTCTGACACTAGCTACGACTCCAGATGGGGTGTTTCCATCTGTCGGCACCGCGGAGGAGTTAGAGGCAATGCGCTGTAGTCAGTAGCAAGGCACTCACCATGCTGACCTTTTCTGTGGTAAGCAGCAGGCTGCAGAATGGCAATTATATCCTGTTTAGTAAGGACGATCGAGATAAGATAAGATGCTCATCAGTAACAACATCCATTCCGGAAATTTTCAGTTCTCGTCATCTTGCCTTCCGCCACGAAGAATTATCTGTTCTCTCCTGCTTTCTACACTTTTTTCTGGCTCTGAGGCTTCGGCTTTAGTTTCGACTCCCTCAGAACGTCCTTCGGCCGGAGCCCACTTCCGTTCTGCCTGTTCACGTCAACTTTGCAACATTCCGTTCACACAGTTCAGTACTCTCGCCGTGTTTGTAAGCACAACATTGTCAGCATCGTCTCTGTTGATGTTCTGCTTCTTCGAGGCGCTCTTTGTCCTTCGAGGGTGATCGTCATCCGGAAGAATCTGGCCGCTAGGGTACTTTTCTCGCCTTAATGCGCCGAGATTCGAGGGCACACCACCTGTCATACGAGGAAAGCTAGCTTGATTTCTCTGATGGGCAGCATTTGCGTTGAATGACCTCCGTGAGATGGCCCAGAATTTTCCATAGTCCTACCTTTCGTCTTGGGTGAGTAATGTATTCAGTTCACGGTGATATTCTTTGCGACTAGGGCGACTTCGTTCCGCTCGATGACGCCTGGACCCACCTTCGGAAAAAGCACCTGCCAAACAAGCTCCGCCCTAAAGCAGCTCTCGCACTTCCCCGGTCTATTTTTGCAAATTGGCCTCTCTGGCGCGCGTCAGTCATTAACAGAAAGGTGCTAGGACAGTACTTCCTGTTAGTGATCTCGACTTGGCAATGCTACCGTCGTCTTCAGCGTCGAGCTCCATCTCACCTCAATGATCCATTCTGCGCCAGGGCAACCGCAAGCTGGCTTATTGCTCTCGACGAGCTGGAGCGAGTGTGGAGAACCATTTTTGGATTCCTTGGCTGTCCCATAAATAATCTGTTCCGGGGTTCTGAACCCCAAGAAAGGCGAATTTCCAATACATGACGCCAGACGCGTTCTCCCACAGCTGAGCTTTTTACCCCTTCTCACAGCCAACTCGGGGCTAATTACGACTCGATTCATGGCGCCTTCTCCGCGCAACATGGCGAAGGGAGAATTTCGAACAGCGCCGCCGCAATAACGCCCTCTCCACAGATCGTTTCGAAGAGGATCCTTGTCATACGGCGCGTTCCCTCCTACTGGAGCTTCTCTGCGCTCGAAGAGTGAACGCGGACCCTCCCGAATATTGTCCATCAAAGGCCCGGGTGACGGTTGTGACGGCCCCTCATGAAGTCCGTCGCTCTCCCCGTCGTCGTCGTCGAGCGAAAGGGCAGATTTCCAACATCGGCATCCAGAAGATCTGCGCATGGAGGATACCGAGAAGCTACTTCTCGAGAGAGAGCTAGTCTGACAGCCAGGAACCTCGGAGAATTTCATTAGAACGGAGATTCTTTGTCAACGACTTTGGGGGTTCTTCACAAACAATGATGCTCCACACGAGTACAGAGCGGACGCGTTGGAGTCTGGTCTTGCGGCAGGCTATTCCGCCGAACGCGTTCGTCTCTTGGTATAAAAGGTGATGCAAAAATCGTCTAAGTCCTCAAGTTCAACCCCCAGAACTTCCCAACCATCGAACCGTAGTCGAAATGCGCGCCTTGCAGTTCGTCTTGCTCGCTATCGCGACTACCTTCGTGGGCGTCGCCCAAACCAAGCCCGGTAAATCCCCAATTTTACGAATACTTACGCTCGAAGCTGACATGAATTTTCAGTCCCTGTGGGCCAGGTTGAGAACGATTTGAAGCCCAAGCCCACCACCACGAAGCCGCATGTTCCGCCGACTTTGCCTCCGCATTACCCTACTACTAAGCCGCCCCCCAAGCCCACTACTAAGCCACCCCCCAAGCCCACTACTAAGCCGCCCCCCAAACCCACTACCAAACCTCCTCACCCAACCACGAAGCCTCCCACCACTAAGCCACCTCCTCACCCGACCACGAAGCCTACCACGAAGCCTCCTCCTCCGACCACGAAGCCGCCTACTACTAAGCCACCTCCGCATCCGACTACCAAGCCAACTACCAAACCTCCGCCCCCGACGAAGCCCCCGACTACGAAGCCGCCCCCGCACCCTACTACCAAACCTACTACGAAGCCTCCGCATGAGACTAAACCTCCCACCACTAAGCCGCCTCCGCACACAACTACTAAACCTACCACTAAACCTCCTCCTCCTCCGACTACCAAGCCTCCTACCACGAAGCCGCCCCCGCATCCGACCACCAAGCCGACCACCAAACCCCCACCTCCGACCACCAAGCCCCCGACTACCAAGCCGCCTCCTCACCCGACTACCAAGCCCACCACGAAGCCGCCTCCGCCCACAACCAAGCCTCCGACTACGAAGCCACCCCCGCACCCAACGACGAAACCCACTACGAAGCCTCCTCCGCCGACCACAAAGCCTCCTACCACCAAGCCTCCTCCGCACCCCACCACCAAGCCTCCTACCACCAAGCCACCCCCGCACACTACCACCAAGCCGACCACCAAACCACCACCGCCCCCGACGACCAAGCCCACGACCAAACCACCTCCTCCGACCACGAAGCCTACCACGAAGCCGACCCATCCGCCGACCAAGCCTCCGCCGCCGCCTCCTCCCCACACTCCGAAGCCCACCACCCCTCCGTACCCACCCATCCCAACGGTGACGCGCACTACGGCGAAGTAGGAGACGGTGCGAGAGTGCGGCGCCGCTGAATGTATGAAATCCCCAGAGGACCCTCTATGCTTTCGTCAACATGTTCGTTCGTTCTAGTCTCGTCGAATTGTAACCGTGTAGTTTGTAACGTTTGAATACCCGAGAAAACCAATGAAAACCCACGTTCAAGTTGTTATTTCAAATTCTTCTATCGTTGTCTTCCTGCTAGTTCTCTAATATCGAGCACATACTAAGGTAGTTCAAGTTGACCGCTTTCGTAAATTCCCAGCATTTATCCCACGCCTCAACTTCCGTGAAGAGGATCAGTGGTCGCGGGCAGACTCAGTTTCGCAGTTTGGCGTTTCATTCCTGAAATATAACGTGGCCGAGTTAGACGGAGTTAGGTGATAGTTTCCACGTTGGTCCGGGGGGACATGGTCAGTAACAACATAGAGCAGTGATTCCAATCTTGACAAACTGATCTACGTCCTCCATACGAACATGTGGAGCGCTATACCTCCAACTGATATTAGATTACTCGACTGTACGGGGGAGTGTTTTACTTCTTAGATATCGCTTAGCTGCCGACGTAGGGCTGGACGCCGTACCGTATACGGCGACGGCCGTAAGTAAGACGGCCGTCTTCATAGACGACCGGCATGATTGCGGTACGTATGGTTCACCTCAAGGTGGGGGACGGTACGGTGACCGTCTGTATACCTCCGTATACGGTTTACGGTATATGAAGTCCAGTAGAATTTATTTTAAGGGTTAGTTAGTATGATGTGTATGTGATAGATAAACATTAAAGTAAGAAAGAAAAGAAGAAAAATGAATGCTGCAGTTAGAGGTTACCAACAATGTCTAGAATGGCCTTGCGATGAAGACGGAGCTGGTCTTTGACGACTCTCAGAGTGCTGAAGGTCTGCACATGTAAACTTGCCCACCGAAGCCATCTCTTCCACCCAAGAACACACGCTCGACTGCAACTGCAGACCCTGAGATTGAGATTAGATGAGATAAGTCATATCAACGGAACAGACATTAACGTACCGGGGATGCAAAGAACACGGCGAGCAAAGCGATCGCGCGACAGAGGTTTGGAAATGTCTCTCAACGTGTGTGCCATCACTCGAGAGGGTCCGCCTTCTCGGTTGTCTGACTCAATCATCTCGCGAACACTGCGGCAGACTGCTCTCATGCCCCTCATCCCAACAAAAAGTGAACTAAAGTTGATATCAGTTTTGCTTCAGATGTGATATCAAACTGGGAACTGACCAATGACGGTGTACTATTCCCCTGCATAGTGATGAGGATAGGAGATGTATTGCAAGGGTGGGGTGATCGATGTGGAGGATGTTGCAGGATTGAGCCTCGAGGCGGGCTCCGAGTCTCGGTGCTACGAGCTGAAACCAACACAACCTGCCTGCTCGGCTGAAGGGCGCAGAATATGGCGAGACATATAAGAGAGTTTCAGCTCGGAGGCAGCGTCTTTCGAGCTCTCAGATAGGGTGCTCGTGTCAAATGCAGGCGGGGGACAGAAGCAATTTCGTGTTGCAGGCTTGATCAACAAGAACAGCTGATTGTGGGACAGTTGGGACAAGTTGTCTGCCTCGGCACTCCTCGGCGGCAAGGCAATTGCACCGTATAATATCTCAAGCCTTTTCTTCCGTAAATACGACCGTAACGGCTAGACGGAGACGGTCAATACGGAGGTGTAAACGTCCGGCACCGTACCGTCTAGCTGGCTCTTCAAGTCCAGTACGGTACGGTACCGTAACCGTAATACGATGCCGTCTCACCGTCCAAATACGGCCCGGCGTCCAGCCCTATGCCGACGCCAGACGTCTACTACGAAGAGGAAATAACATTGCTGCTGGGAGAAGGATGAAAGGACGTGCGAGAAGATCGGAAAGCGCTTCGGAGTCTGGAGCAACGCGAAGAGTGCGGTAAAGTAAATCAAATGTCCATGAGTACATTATATATACCTTTCCCTGAAAGTAAGCAGTTTTCGGAAGCCCGTTTTGTGGTTGTCGCATATTCACGGAATTGAACAACGGGAGGTGAGGCTTCGGAAGGACGGTATGGTGCGAGAAAACACCTAAGAGCGCACGCTGCTTGGTTACAGGTCCGAATCTTTTCCTCCATAGCCACGGAGAGCGTGTCGACCGTCTCGCCCAGATACGGAGGAATCGTCGTGTTCGGTGTCCGCTGTGCGTACCGTGGCCGCGTAAGAAGCCCATCAACGAAATGGCGACACTCTCCACTCTATGGGGCAGGATTGCATGTGACTGCGTTTTGTCTCCAAAAAATGATGCTAAAGAGTAGAAGTTTCTTGCCTGTGTCTTCAGTTCTGCATGCCCCGGGGGAAAGAACGTCAGGAAGAAGTTCTTTGTGTCCCAAGTTATATCCACCTCCTCGATGCCAAAAAGAGCGGAGCATAATTCCCTCCAGACTGCAGAAGGATTTAGTCCCCCATGGGCTTTATAAAATTGCTGTCGAGCGACGCATGACTTCAAAGGCCGCTGAAGAACGAACCACACCGTGGTCAAAAACCGAAACTTCTCGGAACTGGGGCAACTTTCGATGCGAGCTGCAATGTACCTGTCGAGAAGTTCCGAATGGTGTTCGTATAATTCGTGCCGGTTCTACATAAAAAAAGGAAATTACGCAGTGAACGTCATCTCACTGTTAACCAGGCTTACAGTGACTTTTAAGCATCCTAATAGTGTGTCGTTGACCCATTTGACAGCCATAAATTCGTTTTCCAAGATGCCGAAGCACGAACGAACGAAGGCGTCAAGGTCGAACGCTTTCAGGTCCTTCTCAAGGCCCACGCTAGCGCAGGCGTTTACGAGATACTTCCCAAGGTTAAAACCTATGGGCGGTACGACGGCTTGATGTCTCCAAGGTTCTGAGGAAGTCAAATCATCAGAAATGGACATGAAAAATCTATTTACATCCACGCACCGCGGGTCCTGAAATTCTGAAGAATGTATCGCACGATAATCACGTAAATATTGCCAATATCTATATGGCAGTCTTTAGCCCTATGTTCATCAAGGAGAAAGTCGATGACGGATGAATGATGGATAATGAGATTTTGGGACGATTATTCACATTCGAGAAGCGAGTGAAGGTCACTCAGAGCCATGAGGGAGTGTGTCGGAAAAACGCGATTTCCATTATAAGGCCTTGCGGCTCCTGGCACCCCTGGCCCCGCTGATACACTGGCGTGACGCTACCAATAATCAATTGTAAGGGCCTGCAAGTCGAGCGTCAGTGAGTATCAGAAATCCGTCACCTCTGGTAAGTCCTAGTCACACCCGATCACTTCACCTCCCAAAACCCGAGTTTCCGAAGAAGCCATTTGAAAGAGGTTGCACCCCACCCTCTCAGAATGTCAAAATTATCTTCAAATTGCATCTGTTTCATCTACAGTGAGTGTCCGTTTATTGTCCTCGTGAACGGACTTGAAATTTTCCGTCTAAGTCCCAGGTCACGGGAGCTTTCCCTAAGGCCGACGGAAGTAACCTCCGCGACCATGGCTGACCATGGATGACGGACGAGGACGAGGGGAAATCCTGTCATGCCTGCTTACACACCTCGGAGTCGAATTTGGATCCAGAATTATCGCCTCGAAGCGCCCACATCCCTCCGGCAGTTGGTTAGGCTTGTGAATTCCGAGTCGGAGATTAGTCTCGGGGCGATATCTAGGCGCCGAGGTCCAGGCGTTGAAGCTTGAAGGGTTATAAAAATGGGCTTTCGTCGTCTCATTCCAGCGCAGTTCCTTCCCGCTTACTTCGAGTTCGAGATTGGATGGACGTCGGTGCTACCCGGCTTCTGTCCCATGGTGCGTTCCCCCTCCGTTCACATATCACCTTTTAACTTCGACTTCACTTAACAGGGCATCTTATACTCGGTGCGTGCCTCGTACGTCTCTGTAGTTTAACACTGACTCACTACAAATAGGCTTTCTTCTTTTCTCTGAGGTGAGAAGCAGGTAGCAGGGGGGCCGGGCACTGACTCTGCTAACGTGTGTCTGTCTTCACATGCATTAGAAAGTTGCGACTGACTTTGACGGACAGGATGGTAGTTGGCTCACAAACGGTAAGGTTCTATTTAGTGCCACAATGAATTTAAGCTAACCTCGTTCAAGACCGCTGTACCTCGATTGGCTGTTTCCTCGAGCAGCGCGAAACGTCGGCTTCTTTGTTTGTTGACGACGACGGAAATGTAAATTCCAAGGGGGCATGTAGTTCTCCTAGAGTAGAAAATGAAAATTATTTCTTATTCCCTTCTTTTGGATAAGGACAATAATCAGTACACCCGAATATGGGTTTTTGTGGCCAGTATTCATAGGGTTTTCTAATGACACCTATTCGCCCTCATAACCCTGGAGAAGGCCTGAACAGCTGTACAGACGAGATCAGGCCAAATACGGTGTGTTAGGACCATAAGTTCTATAATACTTGTACACATTACAAAATTGGATGGGTGACTTTTCACCATCGATATGAACCCCGATTTTCTGACGCCCTAACAGGTCCTTATATGCCCATATATGGCTATATAGGCAAAATTTGATTTTTCCGACATGTCCTTCGCGTAAATCGAGTATTTTCTCAGTCACGCGGAGTTGACCAGACACCACATCCCCTGCGATGGCGATCCTTATACCTAAAATATCCAGGACCAGCCGAAGATCATCGACCCGTCGTATGATTCGCCGATATAATCTGTCTAACTCTTCAAATGGTCGTTCTCGGACGGGCGGACGAAGCCCAAGTACGATATCCAACCGTTCGGTAGGCTGATGCCGCAACGAGCTGATAAAATGAAAGGCCACAACGGCGTATATGAATTGTCCGGACGCATTTCGCACCAATGTGTGGATTTGGTCTTTACTCGGCCAAGACGTTGGGATGCATGAGCGAAGTGGATGGGATCTCTTTATTTGGGCGAATTTGTCAACAAGAAAGGTGTGAATGTCGCGGTGAGCATGGAAGTCGATGTTGAGCGCAAGGTGGTAGAGGATTGGTGGAGGTTGGATGGAGCGAAATGCGTACTTGATCCTCGGGCTCGGTCTGCTGGTGATTATGAATTTGAGGGGCAGGTTGCTCCTCCCTAATGTGGAGAGAATCTCAATGAGTTTCGCCTGAGTGTTTTCGTCGGCGCATTCATCTAGTCCGTCGATGATAACAAGAGGAGGAAAGCGATACTGCGGGGCAATAGAATGCAGAGGCTTGACGACTAGCTTGAGGAGCTGCTCTTGTAGTGAGTGTTCAAATATGAGTGGATCATGTTCTACAACACTTTCGATAATCCACCGTGCGGAGGGGACGACTAAAGCGGTGCGATAAGCGATGTTTGCAACCAGTGACTTCATGTTGTTACGTTTGGAGTCGGTTCGTAAAAAGAAAAAGGTGGCGAGAAGTAGGCTGTATGCTTCGCAGAGCTCGGCAATCGTGCCTGCAATGGCTGATTTCCCCGTCCCAGCTGGCCCGAAGAGCCAAAGCACGAAGGCGTGAGGTGCAACCTTCCCAGTCACCCAGTCGAGGATGTTGTTGATAATGTCAACGCGGGTGTTTTCATGGCATCTAGGTGGATCAACGCGGTCGTCGGCGCTGTGAAAGGCGCGAGGGGAAACCGAGTTCGTAAGGAGTTCGAATCCTTGAAATCAATATCGGTAAGTGGCACGGAAACACGAACTTGAAGAATGTAAGCGATGAATCACCTTTGGAGCCCGTCGTTCCATAATTATTTACATAGAAGTTGGAATCGCGGATATCCGTATCCCTGCTCCCAGAGAACATGTCAACAGGCTAGGTAGCGCCGAGGAATTTTTTGACGAGTGTGTTCTCTGTGAGGTGACTTATAAGGTGCTGAAGTACTCTACTCACGCCCTTCAAAGAGTTGGCACATTTACTCCTTCCGCACCGCCTCGAGACTGATATATCCTAGAAATAGCCCTTCTATCAGGCACCATTAATAATTATCTCCACTTAGAAACGAGTCCTTCCGAAACCTCAACGAAAGCTGTACACGCAATCCGATAGCTGTGGATGCTTTGACTGGAGAACGCTTGTTTGAAGGGTAGAATATTGAAGATCCTACCTGGTATGTGGTTTCAAAATTGGCACACTAGCTTCAAGTCAGCCAGCAAGAGAAGACAATAGCTACCCACGATTGCAGTGCTTGACCCAACCTCCGTCGAATAACTGTCGAATGAGATCCTGTCACGCACGGTGTCAACAGCCATACAGAGGGAGCGCGTCGAGTAAAAAAAAAATTAATTTTTTTTTTGTTAGATAGGTGTGCTAGATAGTGTGGGAACAGTTTGTCAGCTTCGGCAATGGCTGGTCCAACAGTGTCACACTGTAGGTGTAATCCAGGTGTAATCACCATCTTGACTTTTTCCTAGAACATGCTGTGTTCACGGCTAGAAGAAATATCCTTTGGATTACTCGAGTCCGTTCACTGTGCACAATCAAGACATTATCAACCTTGCGCGTTATGCGATTCACCAGTGTACGTTGACAAGCTCCATTTCGACTCTCGGAAAACCTCACCCGGGGCTTTTCTTTCTCAGTATATTCAGGAAACGCCGACACAGTCATTAATGTCCCTGAAGTCGACGCCTGTCGACGGCTCCTACATCCCAACTTCGTCACGACCTCACCTGCGGAACGAAATCGTTTCACTTCAACTTTCAACGAAGGAACAAAATAATACGGGTTCTCTACCTTCGTCGATTTCTTTTTCTTCGCCTTCTCCTTCGGCTTTGGAGGGCTAGGCGGCGTGATTGGCGGGACTCCAAACATGGGACTCTGTGGAGGCAAGAACGACATCGGATTGATAGGGAGGAGTGATGGAAAATATGGCGACGGTGAGGGGGTTCCGAAGAAGTTGTTGCACCCAGCCGTTAGCGTCATCGGTCTGGCCTCGGTGTAGCTGGGAGGGCTGGTATGAGGGGTGCTGAGGTTGCCGTGGAACCGAGCTCGAATGGCATTCGCCTTCGCCTGCTCGGCCTCCCACAGAGATGGATGTCTCTCGGATTTCAGCTGGGGTGGTAGCTCGTAAGTCATCATCTGGCATTTCGAGCACGTCTTGACACTCACTTTATGGTTTACACCAGTGAATGATCCAACCGACGCAGAACTGCGTTTCGAGGACGGGCTTTTGGTGCTTGTGGCCTTGTCCTGCTTCTTCTCCAGTTTCTTGAGTTGCTTCTTCAGCGCTTTAATCTCCTCATCGTCCGAGCTGGAGTCGCTGGAGTCGCCATCCGACATGAAGCTCGAATCACTGTCCGAGCTGTCGAAGAAGTCGGACAAGAAGTCGGAAGAAGAGGACGAGAATAATTCCCGTCGGCGCCGCCTCTCTGCTTTCTTCTGTTTCTTCGACATTTTCGTCGCCTTCTTCCCAGCACCTCTCTGTGGAAGGCCGAATTCTTCGGTAACATTTGAAGCAACATTCATGGCGTCGGTTGCCATCTTGCCGACGTCCGCAGACGTGTTCGCCATCCCACCCAACCTGCTCATCACGCCAGGAAGAGTGTTCAGGTCAGGAACCGGAATTGGCGCCTGAAGATTGGCTTTCCGCCCTCTGGCCGTGTCCTTGCTCTCCGAATCCAAATGTGGGGTATTGCCGTACTGGTTGAAGGCGTTCCTCATTGTGATATTCGTCTGGCCGTGGTGCGTTGGAAGGTGCGACGATGCATGGTCCTCCGACGGTGTGCGGACATAAATGTCCGAATCCGAACCCGAGTGCGCGGTCGACGCCCAGTCGCTGCTCGACGAGAGGCCAGTCGACGGCGAGGGCGAGGAGAGGTACGGCGGTGGAGGGTAGTCCGGCATCGGGCTGGGCGTGCGTGGGGGTCTTACGCTGGGTACTTCGTCCAGCTGGAAGGTGTACCCGTCGGCGGCGGGGCTCGTAACCTGTCGCGATGACGCCACCGGGCTGCTGAGGACGCCAGTCGCGAGGGATAGGCCTTGGGCGATGGAAGATCTCTTGGGGTCTTTGCGGTTGCGCGAACTCATATCGAGTTATGGGAGGGTGGAGTGGTTTATCCGCAGCACGACGAATTACGAGCGTTATAAGTATTTCCTGAGGGCGTCATCGCCTCCACGGAGTACGCGTACAGGTGTGTATGGCGGCGATGCTTGCCCACTTATGCGAGGGCTAACGGGATTCTATTCACAGGATGATAGGCTCCGCTGCCTGCGCACCTGGAGATTGGCACAGCAGTCGGTAGGATCCTCTGAGCGGGCTGAGTATGGTACGGCAGCACAGCCCCTACGAGTCCGCATTACAGCATCCTACGACGGCTTATAAGCAAAAATGTACGGGTTCCTATTCTTGAGCCAGTGCGTCGATGCGTTTCTAATGTTGGTTTCTATTCTACCAGTTTGCGCCAACAATTGAGTTATGTAGACCGAACGATTGAGGAGGCCGTGAAGTTTGTCCCATGTCCGATAACGCCGAACCGCGGCCATACCGGCCCGCTGAGGTTCCTGACTCCGTCGAAGACACCTCTAGCGCTCAACCGCCAACACTCAGTACTCAACGTTCGACGCTCAAATTTCAAAGCTCATTACGAACACTCTCCTCTCACACAGAACCCAGGGAAATCTCGAGCATGAACTTCAAGTTCGAAAGGTATCCTCAGCATTTTCGATCCACCCTTCGCCTCGTTTACCTGTCAGAAAATCCATTTTCAGACATTGTCCGCAATGCCCAAGCTCCGGTCTCACAATCTACTCGTCTTGTTTTTTCTATCCGAGCCTGGTAGCTTAAGCCTTAGGCCTCACTCGAGATGGATAAAGCCTGACGCCCTCTCCGGACTCACCGCTGGGCAACGGTTATCTTCCTCGGTATCAGTGGGAGGAAGCATCATCTCGCGTTGCAATCAGGGCGTTCTAGTCTCCGAATGTCGTCCTCCGTTGCGTTTCACAAGACAATAAGAACGCTAATTCAATTGTCCAGCGTTTAATGTACGCACATGACCGCTTGTAGATCATCTATGACGGAAGATCCTCAAATACGGTCCTTGGAGGGTCCAAACTCAGGAACGCCAGCGCAAAGAGGGAAAGAGAATAAAGGGTCAACGACTTTGGGCCGGTGCTTTTGTCGCCGCCTCTTTCTTCCTCCTTCGACGGTTCAAAGGAGGGAAACGGTGTCTTCCATCGAACTCTCTACAACGTCGCCGCGCTGGATCTCATTCAAGATCGACAATGTTTAAACTTCCTTCTCGTGACGGTCCGCGTCCACCCTTGCATGGCTGGCGTATCGGTGTTCTCATCAACGCTCTGATCTGGTGTGTGCTGGCGGCGTCGTTTGGTATGTACGATGCCAACTGAAATCGACCCCCTATCTAATCCACACGCTTCACTTTAGGGTTGTCGGCATTGGTAAAGGCAGACCACGACAAGGAAGAGCTCCTTCGCGCTGTTTCCCCGCCTGCCGTGGTCACGATCAATACTCAAGGTGCGTTCAACCTCAGACTTCTCGGACCACTCGAGCTGATGTACGTTCGGATAGACTTCCTGATCCCAGGAAAGTTGACCACCGTCGCCTGCTTCCTCGTCATCGCCCTCGCGCTCATCTGCGTTCCGTACACCATCTTCCGACCACGACAGACCCTCGGAAGTCTTACATTCCAAGCAGTGGGCTTACTCTCGCTTTCTATCTGGCTACTAGCGACAACCATCGCGGAGAGCGTCATTTTCTCGAATCGTCGAGCGAGGATCACCGTATTCGTGGACGGCCAGGTGGCGCCTAACAGTGACCAGCTGGTCCAAGCTTCGTTGACAGCTCTCGGGCTGACCAATATATACAAGCGGATTCAGTATCGTACGTTTCACGACTCTTGACTTCTTAAAAACCCTAAACCAAGTTAATGATCCACCTTCTCTAGTGAGACTCGCTATTGTCTTCCCATGGTTCGCGTTCGTCGCGACCGCATTGGCCACCGTCCTCTTCATGGCCGTGTTAATCGAATATCGGGAAGACGAGCTGGACCCGGAGGCCCGTACACCGTACGCCTTCTCTAACTCCAAGAAGACTGGAAGCCGGGGCTCCAAACCCAAACTCAACAATAATGGTATTACCGAAGTTCCCAACGGGGAGAAAGCTCCTGTCGCCTTCGACTCTTCGGCGCCTATCGCAGGTCCGGGTGCTGTCCCGCGGTCGGCCTCTGGCGTAGCTGATGGGAATGGGATTCAAGAGCAGCGAGTGGTCTGAGGTTCAAATGATTTCCGTTTTCTTTAGTGTATATCCGATCTTATTTCGTTATTCTGGAACATGTGTGGTTTCGCTGCCAGTTTGGTTTTCTCATCGGTCAGGATGTAGCATTGACGCACGTTTATATCATAGCAATAGTTTTGGAATACCTTCGTGTAATGAATATAACCTATCTCGTTCTCCTGTTCTCGTGGAATTGCAATCTTTTGTCACTTCGAGTTCGTAGCCTACTGTTGCCGCCATCATCGTCCGAAAAGAAGTCCTGTTCACATGTAAGAGGGGAGTATCGTGAGTCACTACAGCCTACGCTTCATAAGTTCGGCCGTATGTATGTCATTCTCAAGAACCATCAGTATGAAAAAATAGATATCGGTGATGTCGGGAACCAAGGAATAATAGAGTGTTCTGATGGAAGGCTTCTAGCACCGGCGCTTGTTGGGCGTTCATAGTTTATAGGCGGCAAATTTAGCGACGGACCGTTATTCAAATTTGAATTCACTACTAAGCCTCCGAGCAACTAAAGAACTCTTCGTCATCCGATGATGGGGGAGAATCAACCTGTGATGGAGTGTCGTCAGCAAGAGCATCCTTGGAGCATGACCTCGGCGGTAATTCTTACCTTCTCCAAATATCGAGCAACCACTGTTCCAATTCGCCTGCATCGTCGAGGAAACAGGAAAGGAGCTGGATAGAGAAGGAACGGCTTTGATAGCTCCTTGGTAAGCTCTTCATTCGCCTTTGCAACAAGGAGGAGCCGTCGGAGGAGATCCAGAGTCCACCGGTACATCGTGTATGTAAGACGGTAGGATCGGGGTCCAGCGCGGCATCGGGAGTCAAGTAATAGGTAGAATTGAAGGGGACTTTGGAGATTTGGCCTTGGTCTATTACGCCACATGCGATGGAAAACAGCTAGAGCCCTTCGTTTCTGTGTCCAGGGTGAGAGCACTACCTTTCTTGCCCAGTTCCGAATGGCAAGTTGCGTGCGGAGGCGGCGACGAGAACCGTGTTTTCGGAGGTGGTGGATACAGAGAACAGCAACGCGGGCGATCCTCTCAAATAGAAGGGGTCTCGGAACCGATCGTGAAGCTGCTTCTGCATCTCCGAGGAACGCTAATAAGGGCTTGATTTTTCTAAGTCCACGCCTTTCATCCGCGTACTCGGTCGGGTAGGCGGAAAGTCGTGCTGCGGTAATCCATTCGCATTGCATACCACTTTCAGTAAAGATAAGAGACCACAATCTCCGCCAGGAATATATGAGACTCCATAGGACGGTGGGCACACATGATGTTAGGGGGCGCTGTAGCACGAACCAAACCGTGCTCATGAGGTGTATTCTGTCTAACGGTGGAATGGTCTTGAGACTAGCATCAATGTAGTGGTGAAGGAGTCTTTCATGATGGTGAAAGAATTCATATCTGCCCTGAATACAAGAAAGATTAGTACTCACATCTCTTCCAGCAGCAGAACTCACTGTTTCTTTGAGGGCCTCCAAGAAATCATACGTGATCAGGCATGCCAACGTTAGGCAACGACCGCGCCACGGCTGACAATCAAGATAATGTCGCAGAGAAAATTCTGCTAGATCCCTCTCAAGGTCTGCAACGGGATAGGAGCGTTTCAAATGCTCCCCGATGCTGCTGTATATACTAACTTTCCAATCCTCACTCTTTGTGCGTAACGGAGCTGCAAAATATTATATCAACGCACCTGTCAAGATTATGTTTTGGATAGAGAAAGACGACGCACAATTAACGTTAAACCTTCTAAGCTCGGTCTGCAAGATTTTCGTATGGCCTGCGCGGACATCAACACAATAAGCTCCAGAACGTTGTCGGTTGACGAGATAATCCGCGAAGGAGGAGTGATAGAACGTGATGATCTGAAGGACTCCATCTCGGTTCAACATTTCCCAATCGTTGAAGGCAAGAACTGAGCGGAGATCACTGAGAGCAACCAAAAGAGCGCCATCCTCCAAGGACAGAACGTGACTTATAATGTCAAGATGAGGAGATAATGCTCCGACATCCAAAGCAATTCGTATTTCCAGGATTTTCAAAACCAAGGGGAGGTCATCGACGCGGGAGAGAATATGATGGTAGAGGTTATCTAGTTCGGCGAAGGGAAGATCCCGGTCCGGTGGTCTTAGCTCGAGAACAATGTCCAATCGCTTTGAGGGTAAACTGTCGAGGGAATTGACGAAGCGGATAGCGACCGACGCGTATATAAACTGACCGGATGCCTTCTCAACCAGGGTGTCCACTTGCTCTGTGCTGGGCCATGAAGCTGGAAGGAGCTCATGGAACGGGTGCGACTGCCTAATTTCTCGCCAAACTTGTCTTCGAGAAAGTGGCGAATATCATCGTCGGGATTGAAGTCGTTGTTCAGTTCTAGATGCGAAGCTATTGATGGAGGGGTGATACGGTTGAAAGCGAACCTGATTCGCTTTTCCGGACGGGAAACGATGAGGAACTTCAGAGGGGCGCTGTACCGCCGGATCGTGGAGGAGAGGGTTCGTATAAACGTGGCTTGCGCGTCTTCGTCCTGACATTCATCAAGACCATCGACGATGATCAAGGATAGAAATGGGTTCTGCGAGAAATAGCCTAGGTTGAAAAGACGCTGAAGTGGCTCGAGAACGAGTTTGATGAGCTGCTCTTCGAAAGGATATTAGAAGACGAGAGGGTCGGAGTCGATGACGGATTCGATAAGCGCTCGCGAAGGAGGAATCGTGAGGGCGATTCGATAGGCAATGCTGGCGACCACAGGCTCATGGTATTCCGTCGAGGATCTGTCCTAAAGAAGAAAAAACTAGCAAGGAGTAGATTCCGAGCTTCGCAGAGCTCCGCAACTGTGCGAGCGATGGCCGACTTCCCTGCTCCTGCGGGGCCGTAGAGCCACAAGATGAAGGCGTCCGTGTCGATTTCGCCCTGAACCCATTATTTTGTTGATGACGGCGACTCTCGTGTTCTCGTGGCACTTGGGCGGGTCCGGGCGGTCATCCGAGTTGTGAAAAGCAATTGGAGAGACTGCTTTTACGAGCGTCTCGAACGCTTTAAGTATTAAGAATCAGTTGATGGAACAAGGACAATTTAGGGAGTAAGGACACACCTCTGCTACCGCTCGTCTGATACGCTGCGTTGACATGAAAGCTCGAATTTTGGACTACAACTCCTTGACTTCCTGAAAATATGTTCGCCATTTGCTCTGGTTTTCTTGTGTCGAGGGGAAGAGATGGTGTGGTTCAAGGTTGAAAGACAAGAATAGTCACGATCACGCCCACAGACATATCGTGTGAAGGGCGAGACTATTGTCATTGTCCAAATATCCTGGGCTGCGCCATGAGGATGTGCAAAAATCTCAATCCCGACCTATCCCAAGCCGGAGCATGCATAGTTGAACAAAGATGCGGTATATGATCTGGAACGAAATACATACAATAGAGATACACTGAAACCCACACCAAGGGTTTGTACACACGAAACCAAGCCACGGCCGCCAGTCCTAACACCATCAGCAACACCACCCTCATCCCTGGAAACCACGCTTCCGCTCTTCATACAGGTCCATACGACCAATAACCTCTTCCGAGCCCTGGCTAGCACCAACGTCACTCGTCGCCAATGTGCTCGAGCTCGCCGACGCACCACGACCTCGACCAATACCCAGGCCCATCCCAGGGCCGGGGTTGTAGGAAGAAGGGTATGGCGTAACGAGCCCAACGCCACGCACAGTGCTCGCGTTGGAGTTCGAGCTGGAGCTGGTACGCGTTGGCGTCGATTTCTCCTTCTCCTTCTCGCGCTCCTTCTCCTTGTCTTTATCCTTCTCCTTCCGCCGCGTGCTGCCCCCACCGAGGCCTTCGAGGCTCTTGAGGAAGGTCTCCTTCATCCTGCTCAATCGCTCATCGACTTCGCTTTGGCTGGTCAGCATTGGGCCTCCTCGGGTTGGCGATGTGCTCGCCAGTGCAGCAGCAGCGGCTAGTTGCTCTGCCAATGGCACCGACGCCGGGTCCGCGGGTGGAGAAGCAACGAGCGGGGCGTCGTCGACGATCGTTTCTCGCTGCTTGCCCTTCGCCGCCTTCACGGTCGTGTCGGTTGTTTCTCTGTCGTGTCCTTGGTCTGAGATGCCTTGCGAAGGCTCTCGGACCTTGTCAGCTCGCTCCTTGACACGGCCACTGAGTGGTTTCCTCGAGTCGATGTCCTGGACGAAGACGGAGATGTCGTCATCATCTGTTGTGGTGCTCAGGTAAGAAGCAACGCCCTTAAGAATGTGTCAGCATTTTCAATGACAAAGAATAAATAAATGGAAGACAACAACATACCTCCTTCCTTCCTTCAGGCCCTCCACTCGCTGGCGTATTCCTTCCACTCATGCTAGCCTTGCCACTGTCCGGCGTACCACCCGCCGCCGCCGGCACCCCCGTCGAGCTACTCACACTCCCTGCGTAGCGGTGCCCAAAGCTACTCGAATACCTCTTCCTCTGCATCGCCACTGGAGCTGGTCCCTGTCCTGTACCCGTACCCCCTTCCAACTCCACCCCCAGCCCGCCCAAAGCAATGCTGTTCATGCTCGTCCTCCGATCCCGGTCCGAACTTGCACCGCTTCCGCTCGTTCCGGGCCGGCGGTCACCCAAGCTGGATGGTGCAAACGGTGTTGCACCAAACCCACTCCCGATGGGCGAGGGCGGCAGCCTCGTAACATTGGGCACGGGCGACGCAGAGGAACCTTGTCGTGAGTGGCCGCCTCCTGCAGGCCCGCCGCCCGAGAGTGACGACGGGATACCGCCGATGGGTGATCCTCCAACTCCTGCACCGGGTCCCGGAATGCCTTGACGAATGGACAGCGATGGCGACGAGCCTGAGGCACTCGATAGTGTATTCGACTTGAACGGGTGTACTGGGTTGATGTTCGGTCGTCTGATGGGTAGAGGGCCAGAGGCGGGTGATGAGGACAGGGAAGAGGTGCCAGGGATCGGAAATGGGAACTCTCGGGCAGAGATAGACGATGACGACGATGAGTTCAGGCTCTCCTTGCGCAGACGGGTGATGGCAAGACCTGATGTAGGTGTTGGTTGGGCGGTCGTTGTTGGGAATGGCCGTGGCGGTGGAATTAAGGCGCTGTTGCCTGTACTCGCACTTGTGCCCAACGACGCCGGGGCGGGCACTCTAGCAGGCAGGATGAACTTCTCTGCGATGCTTGTGCTATCCAACGGCGCCGTTGGGCCACCCGACGTGGCCCTACCGATAGGTCTCGGTGGCGACCTTGAGAGAGACGACTTGCTGGTAGGGAGAGAGGAACCCGAAACAGAGTCGCGCTGGCGATTCTTGTCTAACGTTGGCACAAAACCTTCCAGGTCAAGGGATATGAACCTCGAGGAGAGCAATGACTCGAGTTCATCGAGTTGGAAGTTGGGGGTATCGAGGTATGTGGCTGAAAGGAGAAGAGAGCCGGAAAGGTGGGGAATGACAGGAAATGTATAGGTTGACGTCGACAGTGGCTGGGCATGTGTTGGGGATGGGGATGCGCCTTGGAGCTAATCTCAACGAGGCAACAGGAGAAAGATAAAGGCCACATACCGAACCCGAGTATACCTGCGTCGTCCACGTTTCCTAGCGGCTTTACCCTCAACTGTATCGCCAGATTCCCATTCCTGCTCCGCTTGAGGCGCTTGAAGAACTTCCAAGCAGGCAGGATCCTCAGCAAGCTGAAGATGCTCCGGAACAGCACGATACCATGCTTGTAGATGATCGGAAGTGCGACATCCGTGTGTACGTTCGCGTGTGCGCCCTGCCCCGCTCCCGTTGGCATAAACTGCAGCGTCCACTGTTCGAGGAGGACGAAGGCGGGTGTCGGCTCTATCCTGACTCGCGATGAGTCAGGAGACATATAGACCAGCACTTGGTTGTTCGTTAACTCCGGAACAGCCAGCAGCACCTGCACATCAAATGATGGTGGTCCAGGAGGTGCTGCTTGCGAGACGTATCGATATGGCTCGCGGGTCTCCTTCGTAAATAGGTCGGAATCGGGGGTCTCTAGGTTGAACTGTAGCCCGTCATTTTATCGCTCTACATGCGACAGAAATACTTTCACGTACCCATCTGTCCGTCTTGGTAGACGACTGCGGGTCCTCCGTCGCTCTAGCATGGTTGATTGCATAAAAAAGTTTCGTGTAGAAGTGGAATGCTATCTGATCAGCTTTCTGGGTCTCATGGGACATGTCGTGGAGATGGTGGGCGAATTATCGATAGTCCCGGTATATCGTGTGCTTTCCAGAGCAGATGTGGGGGTATGGCGTCGAGGTTACGCTGTAGGTGTCATGATAGGAAGCTTGCGAGTCCCGAGGTCGTTGTGGTAGCGGATGAAGCGGGATTTCTTAAAACAGAAACGGGGACTGTGCCGTCAGGGTCAATGCTTCCATTCCCACACATTGTTTTCCACCAGAAGACGGTCACATTTGGCAATGATCGGTCCGAAAACCCTAATTTCTATAGAAATGTACCACGAACTTTGGGTAAACCTCCCAAGAACCTTCGTCTCGAACTCGAGGTGGACTTCCTTCCGATATGCCTGGAGGTGTTCTATCAAATTTCAGAAGACAGAACGCGAGAACACGCCCCGAACCCACAGACCACAGCCGCACGAACATCGCGAGGCATTCGTTCAAAGTCCGAATACCTGCGCGGTATCTTCCAAAATGATAGACCCTTGGCATATGATGACCGACACGATGATTATGATTTCGATAGGTGGGCAAGGGCCAGTAAAGCGCCATCGAGCGCTGGCATTCGCCGGCCCTACCCGAGAGACTCATCATCTGACACAAGATTCCGTCACGATTCCGAATTCTTGTTCTCCGAGTAACTCAGGTTAGCCTCGTTAGGGTTGTTAATTTCCTTCAATGGCTTTAATGACCCGGGATGGAGGTACATTCTGGGGTGCAGTAGCTATATTTGACGCCCACGCACTATGATAAGAGACCGACAAGCGCCCGTGGTAGAAACGTTCCATCAGAACGGCGTAGCTGAAGTCTGTGATAAAACTCACTGATACAAGAGGGTGTTCCAACTGTCAAATATCCAAGAACCCTCAAAGAAGGCGTGAAGCCGTCGATAACAACGCTTCCAGTCCCACAGTGACACGGTGAGCTTTCATTTCCCCACGTTATTAGGCGTTGTGACTCACAGATCTCCCAAGGACCCACTTGGACGTGGAAATAGAACTTTGTTAGGTGTCACTGTAGGGTCATCACTGGGGTGGAGAAGGGTGCTAGGAAGTCACATCGGAGGCAGTTTCAAATACGCCTTCCACACGTATAAGCGTACTCGTCGCAAACGAGGCGACTCAGAGTCAGACTCGGCCGCGAACAAACTGTTCATGTGAGTCCTCACGGCACTCTCGCCTATGTAAACCATTGGCAAATCGAGCACTCCTGCAGGCGAATTACTGACTACGAGGCTTATTTAACAGATTCCCGGTCGTTTCTGCGGCAAGCGCCTTGATGTCTTATCTAGGCTGAAGGTGGACTCAATCTCCGTCCGGTATGAAATGTGGAAAACCAGCAATCTACGAGTAGTTGACCTCATCAGTTGGACATCCAGCGACCGTTCGTATTCAATTAGAACTACGGAGCTTCGCGAGGAATGAAGGGGCCTGATAATCCGATTGCTTTACGGACAACTGCTGAATATTCTTCCTTGCGCTGTAACTTGCCGGGAGTCAGAGTCTCGCCTACGATGCTGTTGCTTCCCCTCAAGTCGGTGCATCTATGAAAATTTGCTACAACGCCGAATACATGCTCGTGTGTGACGAGCGTCATTTCCTTGCCCCCCACCCCTTCTCTTGAAAGGGCAAATATTTATCACTCCGCCCTTTGTCCCTTTGGCGCGTTCCGCATCTCGACTGCAACTTTCGCAATTATTTAATGGTCCTATTCCGTTATTTCTACCATCTGGACGAACTCATATTTCCCTTCTCTTTCTGAGTCTCCCATTCTCTGTGCGACCAAAAATGCTGTACGCAACAAGGTAAGCGATCGCTTGGTGAATGTCTTTTCTCCTCCTTGTTGGATTGGCCCTGCTAGGCTCTAGTCATCGTCTGAACTCTGCGACGGCGATTTCACACTGCTAGTAGTCATGTACTCCACAATAATCTATGCCGCCCTCTCGACATAGAGACTCAAGGCATCCAGTTTCTACTGCGCCAATATGACAGAGTCAGCTTTTCTGAATCCCACTTCGCTTGACACGGAAGGCCCACAAGATTTCCTATCCCAGTAAATTATGGAAACATTTGATGTGATTCGTGTGTGTAGCCGCGAGATAAAAGGTCGTGTTTTCTCCGGAGAAGATCGAGAACAATGTCTTTAAATTTCGATGTCTTTCTCGTGATGTATGGAATACAATCCGTGAACGGCTGAGTGGGCACACGATGTTCTACTTCTGCTGCTGTAATATCCTAAATCATACCAAGGAAAGTTGTAGGTCTCAGGAATCGAACCGATGACTTAGAGCGTCGACTTTGTGGGATTTCACACAATAAAGCAGCTATCAGCGCAATTGAACCACTAGGCCAAAAGGTGTACACCTAGTTTTTCGCTCTTTGTCTTTTGTCACTGTCATGACCCGTCCCCGGCTCCCGGCACAATTATCCGGCTCTCGAGGCTGTATCCAGCTTCCGAGGCTTGTGGTAATGAACCATGGTCTTCCGGGACACTTCCGAGACATCTGGGAATGAGCCGTGCGGTTCCGAGGCACTTCTGAGGTGAGCCATGTTTCTGGCTCACTCCATTGTGTCTCCCAGCCATTGTCCCATTGTCCTTCATTGTTCTTCTTGTCCTGGCTAAGTTATCTATTACATAATCATGGTCCATTATCCTACATAGCATAAATACCCATGTACAGTAGTAGATTCCTCAGTCGGAATATCGAACTCGACATACCCCCTTTGCTCTAGTTCACTGCCGGAATCCGGCTCCTCCCTGTTCATCCAAAATTGGGGACACCCAGACGTTGCGTGGTGGCGCAGCTGCCCTTTCCGTTAAGCTGAAGCCAAGTCCCCACCCCATCTGGCACGGTCGTTACAGTCACTCCCAATTCGACAACTGAGGATTCCATGACATATATAATAGCTAGCGTCATTTGGACCCCGATCCAACTGGTGTTGAGGGGGGTTATCGTCTCACAATGGGGAGGGGCTTGCTTCCTTCCCACGCCATGACAGGGACAGCTGGTCACGCTGATCACCAGTCTGCCGACGTACTGCCGCTTTATGGACTTATTGTGACCTAGACTGTGTGTAGCCATCACCCACCTGTGGACTCAGTCGGCAGTCTCTGAAGATCGTACTGAAAGCAGTACACAAAGTTCAGTAGAAAGACTGCAATCAATTTCATTCACGCTGATGGCAAATAGCCCCTTCCTAAATCTGCTGAAGTCACGTGGTGAGACAGACCTCATAACAAAATGCCATTGGCACAGCCATTCCTTGGTGTTCCTTGTTCCAAAACTGTCGTTACTGCAGCCACTCGCAAATATCCCATAGCAAATCATATCAGTGTTGTTGGGGATGAACAGAGTACAAGGAGTGTAAAGGAAATCCACTATCTCGTGAGTGCACCTTTGAGTTTCCGTGCTACCTGAGCTGATGAGATTCTTGATACTCTGTGGTTCAGCCTTTTACTACTTTTACAAGGTTCCAAAAATACGACTGTGTGACTCCAAGATGCTGTTAATGTTGTTCTCTGTCAAGAAGAAGCACGACAGGACCAGACCTGCATCATTGTTCGAAGCTCTGTCGAAGTGAGGGTGTCCTGCTTTTACTTCATGCTGATACCGGAACTCAATGATTGAAGACTATTTTAACCTGGCCATGAAATCTGCACATTGATGCTGCTATATCCATCACCTGTCTGCTCTAAGTTTGCCCCAGAATGAGCCTCGAGGAAAGGATTCATATCGCTATTGTGTATGTTCAACCATTTATCACTCTTGAGCTCATTCTGACTTATGTGCGCCAGCGGGGCAGACATTGGGGGCCACTTGTATCAGTTAGAAAAATATAGAAATACAAGGCAGTTTCCTAACTATGAATCTAAGCCCTGGAGGGCAATATGCTACCTTCTGCTTTGGGAAGGCTCTCCTAATAAGAGGGAGGGGTTGCTGGGTGCCTGGCATCTGCAAGGGTGATGAGGAGGGGGTAAATAAATTAGTAAGCATCCATTTCCAGGGTGGGCAGGTGGTGGGAGGTGCAGGAGGGGGCGGAATGGGGGCAGGATAGGCCAAGCAGGACCCCGGGGCACTGCAGAGAACTGGTCATGTGACCTGTTTGCTCTGCAGCCTCAACCGGGGCTGTTTTTTGTGAAAAAGGTGCCCAGGGCCAATGTGATAGTATGCTACTGTATGTCATAAAAAAATCAGAAGAATCTGGGATGTGGAATGTTGTGAAACGGCGTGTATGAGGTGTCACCTTAACTTGGTGCGTGTTTATTTTTAGCACAAGCTGCTAAATTGGGATCTGGCATCAAAATAGCCATTGCTGGCGCATTTCGGGCTTGTTTGGCTTCCCCCTGGGTGGAAATTGATGGGAACGATGATGCGATAATTTTGAGGGAATTTATAGCTACCTGTAGACACCCAGAACGTGTGAATACAACCATTTTTGGCGATGTTATGGCCTAAACTGTGCTTCTATGCACAAAAATGCAAAAATGCGCACCTAATGCTCTGCCTCTCATGCATCCCTGCCTCATAAAAACTAGCCTATAATTTAGTATGCTACTAGAGCTTTAGAACGAGCCAATAATAATGGACTTGCATGCATTATTGGTTATGCAATGGGCCTTTCAATGTTTATGTGCTAAAAAACCGAAAAATCGCACTCAAATTTCTATGCCACACATGTATCTATCCTTCCAAAAAATTATGCGTTCAGATAGAGGTTGATAAATGCTACAAAACGCGCTATTCAGCGTCTCCACACGTTTATTTGTGCCAAAGATATACCTCCAACACTTCACAAGATGCCAGAAAAATCGAAAATGTGCACTCTTATATCCCTTCAAGCAAAGCTGGGGGTATTCCTGTCACTCCAACATAACATGAACACTATCCTAGCACCATCCCTTCTTTTTCTGCCCTCAAGACTGTGTAGAAACACCCCAATTCCATGACCAAAGACACTTCCTCCTTCTTGCCTGGGGGATTCCCACAATGTTGATGG